CTTGTGGCCGAAGGCTCGAAATGTTGTTTTGTGTTCCCCCTTTCTGGGGCACTTCTTGGGGCGTTATTGGGGCCGTCTTGGGCCGTTTTGGAGTCGTTTTGGGCGGTTCTGGAGCCCTCTTGGGCCGTCTTGGGGTTCTCCGGGGGCCCCTTTGGTAACACTCGATGGAAACGTTGAGAAACCACTGGTTTACGGAAAAACTCGTAAGAATTGGCGCGCGAATTTTCTTGAAACCCACGTTGCAAAAGTATGTGTTTTATGTTCGGGAACCTCGATCTTGACATCCGATCGAAGACCCGGGTCTTTGGCAGATGTCGGCATGCCGCGCGCGTGTCGGCGTTGGGGTTGTCACGCCTTTTTGTTGCAAAGGGGCTGTAGGAAATTGATGAGTATTGGCGAAGATGATGGGGGGGGTCGGTAGCGGGTTGGCTGGACTAGTTCGAGCCGATACTATTCCAAATGAGCGATGGGGCACATTCGTGTGTAAATTGTAAAATCCCAGGGGGGGACCCGAATTTCCATGCATACGTTGTGCAATCTAGGCCGCAACGGGTCGGCGACGAGGCGGCGACGGGACGGCGACGGGATGGCGACGGTGGCTACATAGCCACCAAAGCGGCAGCCAGGCCTAGACGATAGACGGCGACAAGGCGGCAACGGGCCCGCCGGGCGGCGACTGCGGCCATACAGCCGCCAGAACGGCAGACATGTCCAGGCGTCGGGCGGCGATGGGGCTGCGATCGCGGCGGCATAGACGCCAGAGCGGCAGACAACTCCAGTTCTTTTGAAGACAGTTTGAACCCCACATACACGTAGCACCCAGCAGTTGCGGATAAGAGTGAGGGGCGCGAGGTTTTGAAGAAATTATCCCAGTGCGACCCTACCTAGGAGTTGGAACATCTAGGAAAGCAACATCTGCAGGGTCCGGCAGATCAGCACTGCAGGGTCCAGCAGCAGGGTCCAGCAGATCTGCAGGGTCCGGCAGATCATCAGGCTGTTCAGCGCTGCAGGTCCGGTTTTGTGTTGCTTGTGCTTCGCTTTGCTGTTGCTGCTGTTGCTTTGCCTTTGCTTTGCTGCCATGATATGCTATGCTATGCTATGCTATGCTGCGCTATGCTATGCTAGGCTACGCTCGACTGCGCTGTGTTATGCTAGGCTATGCTATGCTGCGCTATGCTATGCTATGCTGCGCTATGCTATGCTATGCTATGTTGCGCTATGCTGTGCTATGCTAGGCTATGCAATGAGATGCTATGCTGCGCTATGCTATGCTATGCTTTGTTATGCTGCGCTATGCTATGCCATGCTATGTTGCGCTATGCTATGCTGTGCTGCGCTATGCTATGATATGCTAAGCTATGCTATGCTATGCTGCGCTGTGCTATGTAGGAATCCTTCTGTTCAGGATTTCAATAGGAATTCTTTATGATTGCACTGGAAATCTTTCTGTGCGGGAGTTCACTATGAATGCTTCTGTGGATGATTTCACTCGGAATCTTCTGTGCCGGATTTCACTAGGAATATTTCTGAGGAGGATGTCAGAACGAATCCTTCTGTCGAGAATTCTAATCGGAACCCTTTTGTAAAGGATTTCACTAGGAATCCTTATGTTGAGGATTTCCTCCCTCCGCCTCCTTCACCTCATCCGCATCATTTTCCTCCTCATCAGCTTCGTTCGCCCTCGTTTGAAGGGTTCCACTAGAAATCCTTGTGTGGAGAATTTCAATTGTTTTTCTTCTGTGGAAGATTTCAATGGGAATATTTCTTGAGAGGATGACAGTAGGAATCGTTCTTGTGAATGAATTTCAAGCAGGATCCTTTTGTGAAGGGTCTCAATTGAAACCCGTCTTGTGGAAGGTTCTAATAATAATCTTTTTCTAAAGGGTATCAATAGGAGTCCTTGCATCGAAGACAGCAGGAATCCTTCCACTGAGGCCAACGGAAACCGTGCGAACGACAACGAACACGATTTTTAGGTTGTCCCTCGGGGCTTTCCTGCATCGGATTTCAATAGGACTCCTTCTCGTTGCGGATTTAAATAGGAACCTTCTTGTGAAGTGTTCACTCAGACTCTTTCTGTAGAGGGTTTTACTAGCAATCCTTCCCTCCTCGTCCTCACTCGCCTCCTATTCCTCCTCTTCCTCCTCATCCGCTTCATTATCCCTCTCGTGAGGGATTCTAATAGGAATCCTTTTATGGAGGAGTTCACTGGAAACCCTTCTTGTGGAGGATATCACTCGGAATCCTTATGTAGAGGATTTCAATCGGAAGCCTTCTTGTGAAGAGGTTTACTAGGAATCCTTCAGTGGAGGATTTCACTCGGAATCTTTCTATGCAGGGTTCTAAAAGGAATCCTTCCGTATATGATTGCACTGGAAATATTTTTGTGTTGGGTGTCATTAGGGATTTTTCTGTGGACGATTTCAAAAGGAATCTTCTGTGCGTGATTTCACCAGGAACCCTTCGGTGGAGGATTTCAGAGAGAATTCTTGTGTCGAGAATTCAATAGGAATCCTTCTGTTGAGGATTTCCTCCCACCGCATCCTTCATCTCATCTGCCTTATCTTCCTCCTCCTCCTCATCATCCGCTTCATTCGCCTTCGTTTGAAGGTTTCACTAGGAATCTTGATGTGGAGAATTCCAATCGGAATCCTTCAATGGAGGATCGCAAGTGGAGTATTTCTAGAGAGGTTCTCAATGGGAACCCTTCTTGTGAAGGATTTCAAGAAGAATCCTTATGTGAAGGATTTCATTCGGGATCCCTGCGTCGAAGACAGTAGGACTCCTTCCATTGAGGCCAGGGAAATTCCGAACGACAGCGAACACGATTTCAAGATTTTCCCTCGGGACTGTTCTGTTTAGGATTTCGATCGGACTCCTTTCATTGAGGATTTTAATAGGAAGCCTTCCTTTGAAGTGTTCAATCGGACTCTTTCTGTAGAGGGTTTTACTAGCAATCCTTCCGTCTTCTTCGTCCTCACCCGCTCTCTATTCCTCCTCATCATCCTTCTCATCCGCTTCATTATCTTTCTCGTGAGCGGTTATAATCGGAATCCTTCTATGGAGGAGTTCACTAGAAATCCTTCTTGTGGAGGGTTTCAATCGGAATCATCAGGAGAGGATTTCAATCGGAATTCTTTCTTGTGAAGAGTTTCACTCGGAACCCTTGAGTGGAGGATTTCACTAGGAATCTTTCTGTGCAGGACTCCAACAGGAATCCTTGTGTGGGCGATTTCAGTAGAAATCTTCCAGCGCTGGATTTCCAAAGGAACCCTTTTGTGGAGGATTTCAAAACGAATTCGTTTGTCGAGGATTTCAATGGGAATCCTTCTATGGAGGATTTCACTAGAAATATTTCCCCTCTTCCCTCTCACCTGCCTCATCTTCCTCTTCCACCTCACCGGCCTCAGCTTCCTCCTCCGCATCATCCGTTTTATTCGCCTTCGTTTGAAGGTGTCACTAGGAATCCTTCTGTATATAATTTCAATAGAACACCGATAATCGATTTTAGCAGGGGGCCGGAATAGGCCAGCGCCCATGTATAGATAGTGTTTTCTGATTCTTTGGGTTTGGCAGCGGTGGTTTCTGGGATAGGGGGTGTCAAATCGACCCCGGAGCAACTTCCTGGGGCATTTGGCTAGAATCTCGAAGCGAATCCGGCCGTGCCGACGAGGACGCGACACCACAGAGCCTCGATCTTCGATCTTTCCAGGTTACCGCAGGGGCGAGAATACAGTCGCGCTTCGCGCAGCGCGGCCCAGGCCGCGAAGGTGTCCCTCTCCAGGGCGGTGGCGCTAAGGCGCGAAAATAACCATTCGTCACGCACTGCGGGGAGCGGCCCGCATTAGGTGATCTCTATCTTTCGATCCTCAAAGTTCGATTCCCAGAGATCCTATGCCCTGATTCACGCAGTGCGAGGTCCGCGGAAGTCTGGACCCTTCCCCCAGGGTCGGCTTTTCGTTCTGAGAAGGTTTTGTTGACGGTCCCAGGGCCCAGCAGAGGCCCCGGAGGTCGAAAGAGGCGAAACCCAAGTTTCGGATTGTTTTTGGAGTACTTGGAGGTTTGGGTCCTCCTCTTGCGGGAGCGGCCGCACCTCCTCCCGAATCGGCTTCCCGAGTTCGTCCGACTCCCCGATTCGGTGCCGGCTGCTCCTGGCCATCCGTCCTCGTCGTCTTCGTCGTCGCCGCCGATAGTTCGATCGTCCGAGGGCTTGTCTCGGAGCTTCTCTGACCGCCGCGATTGTTCGAGGCTCGGTCAGCCTTGCTGGGAGCTCTTATGGCCTGATCATTAAAATGCAGCTCCTGGGGGTGGTACTTTCAGAGTCGGCGCTGGTGTGTCCGTGGTCGAAAACCGGCCCAATTTTGCCGAAACCCGTCCATTACGGCTCAATCCCGATGAATCCAGCTCAATCCCGACCACTCTGGCCTAATTTTGGGCGCGGTTTGGCCTAATCCGGCTCAGTTGCCCAGCATTCGGGCGCAATCGTTCAGACGAAGACCTCCCAGGAGTTGCCCCCCCACCGTCGTCTATTTCGAAGCTCGGCCAGCCAGCCTTGCTAGGAGCTCTCCTTGCCCGACAGGGTCGATTTCGATCAAACCGATTCGATATCAGCTCTGGCTGGCCTGATTCGATTCGATTCCGACATTCCGCCGTTCCGATGTGGCCCGAGGCTTACATGGCGTTGTTGTGCATCCTGACGCAGCCGATCCGATTCGATTTCGATTCTGTGCCGATGAGGCCGATCCGATGCGCATGTCATCCCAAGCCAGGACCCCTGGATCACCAGGTCGGGGATGTGGGTCCTGGCTGGGGGGTTGGGGGTGGGTTGTGCCGCCATCGCGACAAGGAGGACGATGAGGACGAGGACCCTGGCGAGGACGACGAGGACGATGAGGAGGGACGAGGACCACGGCGAGGACGACGAGGAGGACGAGGACGACGAGGACGACGATGACCACGACGAGGGCGACGAGGAGGGGACCACCGCCCCGCTGGCCGAGCCTGCGGAGGTGGCCCTGGCGCCTCGGTCACCGCCTCGGCGGCGGCGGCCGGCGCGGGCAGCCGCCTCCGGGCCTGGTCGGAGGCAGGGCCACCGCCCCTCGCGCCCGCGGCCGGGTAGGTTTGGGGAGCGCTGTGGGGTCGGAGGCCTGAGGCGCCCTGGCCAGCTCCCGACGGCCGGTGGGCCAGCGCTCGACGGCAGGTAGTGCGGCCAGCTCTCGACGGCCGCGCTCGCCGGGCCTTGCCAGTGGCCGCCCGGGCTGAGCAGGGCTTTGGCGTCCTGGTTTGGGGCGTAGCTGAAGAGGGGGGGAAGGTGAGCGGACCCACTCATTCACCTGGAGTCTTGCCTCTCTCTCTCTCTCTCTGTTTGCCAGTTGTAGTAGTAGTTAGCGGACTTCTGTAAGCGTTGGGGCCTCGGGGAACGGAAGAATGTGTGATATTTGTCTGCTCTTCTCTCATGCCATCGGTTGGGCACATGGGCTCGCCCAGCGGCTGCCTCCCATGATCCTCCTCAGCCGCCTCTTCTCTTCATCTTCCAGTTTTTCTTAGACTGAAACGTCTCCGAAGCGGCTGTGCATCTCTTGCGTGTCAAGCAGGCGTGATTATTTTGAAGTGTTGTGGGTTGTCAAACGCCACCGTTGCTCGCATTCTGGGTGTGCATGCCCACCGCGGCTGCTGACCTGGAGTGTCGAGCCCATTTCCAGGTGGCCATGTACTTTTTAGGGCAAGAGCGGGGGGGTCGAGGAGGTGGGGGGCGAGTGTGACGAGTGCGGAGGTTGTGACGGGATCGGCAGCTCCGGCGCCAGCCAACCACTCCTCGCAGCTGGGCAGTTGTGCGCTCTGCCAGGCCTCGGCAGCACGCGCATTCTGCTCGTGAACTTTCCGAGGTGCTCGCTTGACGGCTGTTCCTCGGATGACCGCGTGAAGAGAAGCACGATTTGGCCCCGAGCCTTTTCCGGCCAGGATCATGAGGCGGATCTGGCCGCCATAATGAGGCCTTCTTCTCTTGGCAGAAACATGCCCAACCTCTCTGCCGCCGTCGTCTTCCTCGCTCCTCCTCCCTGCACCTGCTCCTGCTTCTGCTCCTCCTCCTCCTCCTCCTCCTCATCATCATCATCATCATGAATCCTCCTCGCTCACTCGCTCCACCTCCTCCTCCTCATCCTTCTCCTCGTAACGAGCAGGAGGAGGAGGGAGAGGAGGAGGAGGAGGAAGGGAACGGGGACCTTGTTTCCGTTCCTCGCTTCTCCTCATCTTCGTGCCTTTTACCATCTGCGTCGCCGCCGACGTCGACGCTGCCAGGCCCAGCATTCCCTCCTGGCCTCGATGGCAGTGCGCATCCGTCGATGCTGGCGACCTTTATTGGCCCCTCGTCAAAATCAAACGAGGGGGCACTCTGAAGTATGCGGCCGCAGGGCCCTTTCTTGATACTCCGTTGCTTTCTCTTCCTTTCTGGTTTCTTTTAGCAGGGAGTGCGTCATTTATGTAATCGAATACGTTTCGAGCTCGCATGCGCGGTGATCCTCCTCCTGGTCCTCTTCTTCCTGCTTCTCCTCCTCCGCTCTAATCGATGTCCTTATTGAGGATCCGTTGATACAAGTCGTCCACATTCACGAATGCTTGATTGCTTGCTAAGCTGAAATCATCTTCATTACATAACCATTAGTAAAGGTAGTCATTGCAAGAATTCCTCACCGCAGGGATACTGATTGAACAACTCCGTACTCAAGGCACCCTCACTAAACATCCTGTGTTAAATTACCCATGCGTAATGAAACCTTGCGGGGGGGCCCTTACTGAAAGGATGCATACTACAGGCATCTTCGCATAGGGTGCATCACTAAAGGGATCCTTGCTCAGGGTGCCTTGATGCAGACATCCCTACTGACGAATGTTTACCGAATGCATCCCCACTAAAGATCGCTTACTAAACGGACTGTTCCTCAGGGTTCCTTGATGCAGGCATCCTTACGAATGATTGTGGATAGAAGAAGTTGTTATCAAGGAGCCTTCCCTAAAACAGAATGCTTTCTACGGGCTCATTGCCAAATCCATCCTTACTAGGAATCTCCTGAATATGAGCAAGTACGCCCCCCCCCCCCCCTCGGAGCGTCCCCCACCTCTGTGACATCTAGGGGCAACTCCCCAGGGAGGCCCCAAAACGTCCCAGCACGGCCCAAGACGCCCCCAGGGAGCCCCCAGAACGCGAACGGATGGCCTAAGACGCTCCCAAGCAGCCCAAGACAGACTGCCGGCGGCTCTCCAGGCTCGGCTCCCAGGAGGCCTCCAAGAGGCCCCAAGAGAGCTCCGAGAGGCGTCCCGGGAGCGCCCGAAGAGGCCAAACATGTTGTTCATTGTTTTGTGTTGACTCTTAGACTTCTCGCGTTTTCGAGCTTCCAGCGCTCCAGGACGGCCGAGAAACGCCCCCAAGACCGCCCAAGAGCCCCCAAGACGGCTTCAAGACGGGCCAAGAGGGCCCAAGAGCGCCCCGAGGCCGCCCAAGAGAGCCCCAAGATGGCCCGAAAAGCCTCCCAACAGGGGAAACGCAAATCAACAATCCCGGTGTTCCACTCCAAGAGGGCCCCCAGGAGGCCCCAAGAGTCCCCCGAAGAGCTTGAAGAGGCCCCCAAGAGAGAGGCCCGAACGTGTCCCCAACAGGCCCCAAAACAGCCCCCCAGCGGCCTCCAAACTGCCTCCCAACAAACCATGGTCTGTATCAGGGAGTTCACCTGTCCAGCGTAGGTAGCGTCAGAGCGCGCGCGCCAAGAGAGGGACAAAAGAGGGGACCTCCCAAAGCCTGACGAGCGTTTTGCCCCGAGGTGGCCCCAAGGTTTTCCCAATGTTCTCGAGGCGCCCCCCAGATGTCTGCGGAGACTCCTGGGAGGCTCCCAGGAGGCACCAAGAGCTCCCCAAGAGACCCCGAAAGACCCCCAAGATGCCGCCAAAAAGGCCCCGAGGGCAATCCCAAAAGACCATGGCTTGTATCTGGGAAACTTCTGACCCACTGCCCAGGCATGGCAGTTTGAAAAGAAAGGAAATTCCAAGAACTCGTTTCTTGTCAAACGCACCCCCTGCTTATGTTGCACAACAGACCAGACTTGAGCCCCCCGTCACCACCGAAGAAAGATCCCAAGAAGTCGGCGAGGGCCCCAAATCATCGAACAAGGAAGTGTATGATTATGTGGTTTCTGCATGTCACCTTCTATACGCTTCCGAGACTTGCGCAGGGACTCCGAAAGGGCGTTCGGTGCACAAGGCATTTCAATAATTGAGATTACATGCGTTCGCCTGTCGAGCCTAGCTAGAGCTTGAGCGCGCGCGAAGCGCGCGATGGTTCTAGTGGATGCGCTTGCATGGCATCCCAGCGGTGTTTCCTTGGCTGGGCCTTGCGTGATGCGAGAGGTGGAAGGGGGGACAAAGCGAGAGAGAAAGAGAGAGAGAGAGAGAGAGAACGGGAGAGAGGGAAAACAAGCGAGCGAGAGAGAGAGAGAGAGAGAACAAGAGAACGAGCGCAACCATTTCTTCTTGTCCCCCCCCCCCTCTGCGTTGTGGGCTTTGAGGGAGCTGCCAGTCCCTTACAGCTTCCTCCTCCCTGAAGGATAGTTATTAAAGAACTCATTACTCGGGATCCCTGACTGAATTCATCATTACTACGGGCCTCCTTACATTAGGTAAAACAGGAAGCATGATCCATGAACATTTGCTGCAGGGGTCCCCTCTGAGGATACGTGCCTGCATGCACGGCACCATCACACATGATTCCTCACCAAAGGGGGACGTATTGTTATTCCCTCTGTAGAGGCATCTTCACGCACAACTGCTTGCCAGCTACGCCCCCCATTATGGATTCCGCAGTCAAGGGAATGTGACTCAGGGCTTCTGAATACGAACATCCTCACCCACGAATGTGTACCAACGAAGTTCTTACCCAGGAACCCGTACTAAAAGGAACGTTACCCAGGGTGCTTGCATACAGGCACCATTACCAGCAAATGTTCACTACAGACAGCCTCACCCAGGAACCCTGACTAAAAGCAATGCGTACTAAGGGCCCATCCTACAAGCATCCGTAGTAAGGATCTCCCAACATGATCCCAGTGGAGGCGTTCGCGTGGCGTCCCATCGGTGTATCATTGGTTGGGCAGCGCGTGGGTGCGAAGGGGGGAGGAGCCAGAGAGAAGAGAGAGGGGCAGAGAGAGCGAGGGGGAGAGACAAGGAGAGAGAGAGAGAGAGAGAGCGAGAGCGAGAGCAAGAGAAAGAGAGAGAACACGAAAGAAAAGCAGGGAGAGCACGAGACAGAGAGCAACCATGTCCTCATGCCACGCCCCCGCTCTGCGTTGTGGGGTGTGTGAAGGCGTAAGTAAGTCCCTTTACAATTTCCTCCTCTCTGGGGACTCCTTACTGCAGGAGTCAGTCGTCAGGATCCCTGGTGGAATCCATCATTACTTGGGATGCCGTATTGAGGGTACCATTACCAGGCAACCCTGTCTAAACAAGGGAGCATGCTCGCTGATCCTCTGCTACAGTAGATCCGCATTGGGGGTATCTGTATCAAACGGCATCGTCACTACGGACTCCTCGACACATTGACCCGTAGTGCTGCCCTTTCTGCATGGGCATCCGCACGGACGAATGCTTACCAACGGCGCCTTCATTAATGATCCTTACCACCGAATGGTTGCCACCGGCGAAGACCTTACACCGAAACCCGCACTAAAAGGAATGTTTACTAATTGCTGTTACTACAAGCTTCCTTGGTAAGGGTATTTAACAATGACCCCAGTGGAGGTTTTCGCATGGCGTCCCAGCGGTGGTTCTTTGGCTGGGCATTACGCGGGTGTGACAGGGAGAGGAGCCAGGGAGAGAGAGAGAGAGAGAGAGAGCGAGAGCGGGAGAGGGGCACGGAGGGAGAGATACAGAGAGCGATCAAGTGTTACCCCTTGCCACTTCCCCCCTCTGTGTTGTGGGTTGTGTGAGAGAGCTGCCAGCCCGCCCCCCTCCGCCAGCACTTTCCTCTTCGCCAAGGGCTCCTTTTTGATGGAGTCATCACTCAGGGTCCGTTATCCCACGGATCCTCATTACACTCTTTAGCAAGCGCAACAATACTAGGTAACCCTTGTCGAAGGAAGCATGAGCAATGAACATTTGCTACATAGATCCGCATTGAGAGTGTCCGTATCCAAAAGCTTCACCATTGAGGAGGAGGAGGAGAACGAGGAGGCGGAGGAGAAGGCGGGGGCGGAGGCGGAGGAGGAGGAGGAGGAGGAGGACATTCATTTCAAGGTCTTTCATTCAATGGTTTTCTTCATCCCAAGAAATCTTGACAAACTGGAATTGTGTGCAGAATGCTGGCGTACATACATCCTTACCAACGGATGCGTGCCGAAGCCCGTATTCATTAACCTTCATCGGCAGGAATGTTTATTGAGGGTCATTTACCACAGGCGTCTTTACTAAGGATCTCCAGTAATGGCCCCATTGGAGGCGTTCGCATGGCGTGCCATCGGTATTTCATTGACTAGGCCTTGCGTGAATGTGACAGGGAGAGGGGCCAGAGGGCGAGAGAGAGAGAGAAAGATAGCAACCATTTCCTTCTGCCACTTCCCCCTCTGCGTTGCAGGTTGTGTGGTTGAGCAGCCGCTCCCGCCTTCCATTTTCCCCTTCTGAGGACATCTTACTACAGGAGTCGTTACTCAGGATCCCTTATTGTAACCATCACCTTCAAGGAATACTTGCGAAAGGAAGGCATCGGAAGGAACACTTCCTACAGGGACCCTTCCTGCGGGGATCCTCTGTGTTATGAGCGCAGGGTGAGAGGGCGAGATGCCCTCTGTGCATTGTCCTCGAAATCCCAACCCCACGCCTGTTTGCAATGGACTGGAACTCTATGGACATGCTCGGGGGGCACTGTTTGTCCTTCTCGTTGGCAGTCCTCCAAGATACCCTCGTATTGTCAAGATACCCTTTGAGAAGCTCTAGTATGTGTCACGTTGCTGGAGGAAGGAGAAGGAGAGGAGTAGGACGAGGAGGAACAAGAAGATGAGGAGACGAAGTATGAGGCGTGAAGGCGCCCAAGCCTTCGTCGAGCAGAACGCATACTCCACAATCCCCTGCCCTCCAACATCGCCCCAAACAACTCTCCGAGAGCGCGTTATGACCAGGAATTCGAGGCGAAGCCGACGCCTGCCTCCCCAGAGATCCGACGCATTGTTTTTTTCAATACACGTCGGTCGTTGAAAGAAGTTGTTTTTTTTTATTCCCAGATCTCAGTCTGCTTTAGCCGCCTACCTACTCCAAGAGTCTAGCGGTCTTTCCTCGTCCCTCCTCCTCAGGGGGTGGGCGAACACCCAACCTACTTCCAACGTCTACCTACTCTACGTTTCTAAACACTTCTGCCGACCGACAGGTACTGAGTCCCCGGAAGTTCCGAGCCGTTCCCCGGGGTTGGTGTTGCATCCCGAGTCGTTGTTTCACGGCTCCAGGTTCCAGCGAGGGCCTCCACGAGCCGAGAACGACGAAAACAAATCCGCATCTCATGTGTCAACACGTCGAAGGTCCTGGGCCGACGGCAGATCGGCGGCGAAATCCGAACCCTGCCCTCGCGGATCAACGATTCAGGCAACTCGATGGGCGGAGGGAGTAGGGTTCGGAATTCGTCGAACACGAGGCTGAATCCGAACCCTTCCCCCGCCTCCCATCGCTGCAGGAGAATCAACGGTTGGTGTGGGTAGGGTTCAGTTGCCTACCTGACGGGGCCGACGTCGCCTCGAAGGCGCCGATCGGCGCGAGCGGCACCGGCCGATCGACGGCGTCGATTTGCTCCGACGCGCCGCGACAGGATGACGAGCCGGCGCCGCGCGCGCGGGCACCCCGTGCGCGCGCCGTGGCGGCCGCGAGGGCGCGCCGCCCCTCGCCACCTTCGTCGCTGCCGCCGCGGACGACGATGGCGACAAATACGTAGCACCCCGCAATTGCGGATAAGAGTGAGGGGGCGGGCGCGGGCGACGCGGGCGTCGTCGAGCCGGCGGACCTCGTGGCCCCCACCTCCCGTGTCGATGGCGCTCTCCTCCTCCTCCTCCTCCTCCTCCTCCTCCTCCTCCTCTTCCTTGTCCTCGTCCTCGTCCTCATCGTCATCGTCATCCTCCTCCTCCACCTCGTCCTCCTCCTCTTCTTCCTCGTCCTCCCTCCCCCCCTCGTCCTTTCATCATCGTCCTCCCATTGTCGTCCTCCCCCTCATCGGCTCCCATCATCGTCCTCCCATTGTCGTTCATCATCATCCTCCTCCCCCTCCTCCCCCTCCTCCCCCTCCTCGTGCCCCTCCTCGTCCTCCTGCTCCTCCTCCTCTTCTTTCTCCAATTTCTCCTTACATCCTCTCTTCTTCCGCGTTCTCCTTGTCTTCTGTTTACTCCTCCTGCCTCCCCCTCCTTTCCCAAGATAACGGCAACGCAATCCTTTTTTTCCATGTTATGCTCCCCGACTTCTCTGATCAAGGCAATTCGCCAGGGCAAAGTTGCTGGACGGGCTGGTGTGGATGCGCGGGGCTTGAAAAGATCCTTGCGGGCTCAGACGGCATGCAAAAATCCGCCGCCGCGCTTGTGCGGCATTGGTTTGTTCAGTGAACGTGGTTTGGGTCGCGGGCGGGTCGCGGGCTCTCCACCTCCACTTGGAAGGAATGCGAAAGCAGCTCGCCGCAGGCGCCAGCAACATTTGGTTTGTACACTGAACGTGGTTTGGGTCGCGGGTGTTCCGCGGGTTTTCCACCGGGAACGAATGCAAAAAATGCTCGCCGCAGGCGCCGAAACATTTTGTTTGTGCCCTGAACGTGGTTGCGGGTGGGCCACGGGCTCTCCTTCTGAAGCGAATGTAGAGGATGCCCGCCGCAGGCGCCGAAAAATGTGGTTTGTACCCTGGACGCGGTTTGGGTCGCGGGTTGGTCGCGAGTCGGTCACGGGGTGGGTCGCGGGCTCTCCACCTGGAAGGAATGCAAAAAAACGTCCGCCGCAGGCACCGAACATAGTGGTTTGTACCTTGAACGTGGTTTGGGTCGAAGGTGGGTCGCGGGTGGGTCGCGGGGTGGGTCGCGGGTGGGTCGCGGGTGGGTCGCGGGCGGGTCGCGGGTGGGTCGCGGGGTGGGCCGCGGGCGGGTCGCGGGGTGGGTCGCGGGTGGGTCGCGGGTGGGTCGTGGGGTGGGTCGTGGGATGGGTCGCGGGGTGGGTCGCGGGGTGGGTCGCGGGTGGGTCGCGGGTGGGTCGCGGGGTGGGTCGCGGGTTGAGTCGCGGGTGGGTCGCGGGGCGGGTTGCGGGTGGGACCACGACAACAAACAACAACACACAACAAACAGCAGCAACAACAACAACAATAATCCGCACCGCGGAATTCCACTTCAGCCACGCACCCAGGGACAGTGAATGACCGTTCGGCCCCCTCATTCTGACGACGATGCCGACGAAGAGGATGACGACGAGCACGAGGAGGAGGACGACGACGAAGAGGACGACGACAACGAGGACGCCGATGAAAAGGACGACGACGACGAAGATTGAGAAGACGACGACGACGACGACGACGACGACGACGACGACGACGACGACGACGACGGGCGGCGCATGGCGGCGGCGGGGGCCGGCGGCGGGCGGCGCATGGCGGCGGCAGGCTGCGCATGGCGTCCCGGGAACCTGGAGCACCCGGCGCCGTGCCAGCGGCCTCGTTTCTGGACCTGCTGTGGGCGGCTCTGGACCCCGCCAGTAGGTAGGAGGCCGAGGAGCGCCTGCAGAGGGCCGAGGAGGCGAGCCCCGCCCGGTTGCTGGCGCTCTGCGCCGCGGAGTTGGGCCGCGAGGGCGAGCCGCCAGCGCTGCGGCAGCTGGCAGCGCTGCTGCTGAACAGCGCGGTGTCGTCCATGCGCGCGGGGCCGCGGGACATCCGCCACAAAAACATGTACACTGGCATCCTCCAATGGATATTTCCTGGGCCTCAGGGGAGGGTGGCGGTGTATAAATCATAACTGGGAGCCAACGACTTAGACGCTTCGCGTAACCCCACCAGGTTCACCAGTTTGTGCGGCTCTTGGCTGCGCCCCCAAGGAAGTGTGCCCTGGCTGCGAACGGGGCAGTGCGATGGTCCATCACAAGATTGGAGGCCTTGGACACGTTCATCGTGCCACTGCACGTGGGGGCACCCCTCTTACATTCACCAGTCTTTGCGGCTCTTGGCTGCGCCCCCAGCGTTTCGATTGACAAGACGGGAGCTGACAGGTTCAGCCACCCTTCCTGGTCCCCACGGTTCATATCCCAGCGAAGAGGCCATGGACACGCTGTCGTACCAGCGGCCCCCGGGTGCATCCCCCCCTGCGATTCTTGGTTGCGCCCCCAGCTTTGCGAAGAGACACCACGACAGAGGAGCTGACAGGTTCAGCCACACCCGTGGGTAGCGGCGATCCGCAGCTCGCTTACAGTTGGGCCAGGACCCTCAGTTTGTGCAAGGCCTCCCCGAGCTAACCACAACGTGATTTCCCCCAGTTTCCCTGGTCGACACTACGTGGTACTTCGTCTGGTCGCCACTGCGTACGCTGTCATGAGGTAGCGTGAGGGTGGTCTCTCCCCCCATGGCACTGCCGCGGCCAGCGGGCCTCCCATACCCGCGGGCCCGGCCCGCTCGGTGCGGCTCGGGACGACCCAGGTGCTGGGCTTCGGCGAGGTGCTGACCGGCGCACCTCACCGGTTCTGGTACCACCCGACGCCGGGCCTGGTTTGGGCGCGTTCTTGCACAAGTGGTTCATCATTTGGCAGGTCACCGCGGATCCCCCAGCAGGTTCGTCATAGGTGTCCCGGTTTACGCTTGCGTTTTTGCGTCCCCGACCCCCGTGTCGGATAAGTTGCTTGCGGTGAACGCCGGCGACGTCGACGACAGGGTCCCGATTGTTGTCGTCGCCTTTGCGTTCAGCTCCTGCACAATTGTTCATCCTTTGGCAGATCATCACGGTCCCCCTCTGCAGTCTGGGCCATGAGACCCGACCAGTGCTTGCAGCTTTACGCCCCCGTTCCTCAGTGTCGGACAAGTTGCAGGCTGTGGGCTCAGACGACACGGTTGACTGTTCCTTGACTGGGTTCGGGTCGCTCCCTTGCCCAAGAGCGTCCCTTGAGTCACTGTGAGTAGGGCTTCCATCTGTGCCCTCCCCGTGCCCTTGCGCCCGCCGTGCCTCTCCTGTTACTTGCCTCGCCCGTTGTTGCATGGACGGTGCGGCCGCGCCTGGCCACCCCGTGCCGCCGCAGTGCAGCGTGTCGCGCTGCCCGGCACGGCTGGAGCTTGGCGCCACGTGCGCGACAGCTCCCATCCGTCCGCTTCCAGGTTTGCGCTTGCGTGCCCCTCTGTCGGGCCGCCAGCGCCAGCCCCAATGAGGGTCATTTTGTCCCTTGCATGTGCACTCGCTTCAGTGGCCTATGCGCCTCTGCGGCTAATTATCTCGCTCCGTGCCCCAGTCGGGTCCGCCCCGCTTCCAGGATCTGTCCTCGGAGCCGCCAATAAAAAAAAGTAACCCCATCAGTCTGGCGGTGCTGTTTGCCTGGTTCACACCGATCGACCTCTGCGTGTTTATGGTCGCGCCGCCGCGCCATCTTGGCTGCGCTTACTTGCTGGTCGCCACCAGGAAGTCCAACCCCACCGGGTTTGGGAGTATCGGTTCTGGCTCTCCTTCTGAGTGGCTGCCCGCTCGCTCGCTTCGCTTGCCATTCTTCTCCTGCTGCCGAATCGCGACCCGACAAGTGTTCGGCTGGCTTTCGACCCGCCTCGCGAGCCTGTTGACCAAAAAGTAACCCCACCAGCCTCTCAACGGGGCCAGCCCCATGCGCGGTCCCACGGCGGGCCACTCTGGCTTCGCGCCTGATGCCGCCTCGGGCACGCCCAGCAGGGGTTGCTGGCTCGCCCTTGGTCCCCAGGAGACCCTTGCCCCCTTTGCGGCCTCTCACCTCCTGGTCGACTGCCGCCCCCCCCCCGGCCCGCCTCAGGCGCTGCCCTGGGGCTCAGGCCCCCCCCATCCGCGGAGTGACCCGTGCTGCTCGTTCCTTTGCGGCGACATATCTGACCGCCCTGACTCAGCACGCTGCACACACACCTCGCGAGTGTTAGTCGCGCCCCTCTCCTCTGCAATTACTGGTCGCATCCATGCTGCGACTGTCGGTCGTTTCTCACCGACCACCTCCCCCCCCCGCACTCACCACCGCTTGCGGGCTCGTCGGACGCTTCCCACCAACATCCATCCCACCGACTTCCTTTCCTGACATTGCGGCTGTCAGCCGCCGTCTTCCCCCCCGCTGCGGCCGCGTTCGCGGCCGCGGCGGCTTCGTGCCGAATGCCGCCCCGCGAGCGCCTTGTGGGGGTGCCGGCCCCCCCCTGGCCCCCTCGCTCGCTCGCTCGGGCCTCTCGCGTCGTTGCGCCCCCGGCGCCACTTCGCCCCCCCCAGCGTCCGCCCCAGCGCCGCCGCGGGACCCCTCAGCCCCCCCCTCGCCCCTCGCTTGAGACCACCGGGCCGGCTGGGGCTTGGTCGCTGGGGCCGCGCGTGCCGCTCCGCGTGCCCCGCAGCCACCAGCACCACTCTGCCACCTACGCCCCGGAGACAGGTTTGCAGAGTTGGGCCCTCGCTCTGCGCTGCCGCTCACGGTTTCTCCCACCGCCTTAGCTCTGTGCACGGGGTCGCTGGGGCCCCCCCCGACCCCGGTCGCCGGGCTGCGCGTTTTTCCCTCCCCGCGCCGCTCTGAGCGCCTCGTGAGGTTCTCTGCGTGCCGCATGCCCCTTTCCTCGGGGTGCCCCTGTGCTCTCGGGGTTGCGACTCGCCCGCGGTCGCCACGCGC